CTAATTACATTTTTTGATACGAAATATTTTTCGAATTCTCATTGACATTATTTTTTTGCAAACATGAAAATTTTTTAAATTTTCGGTGAAATTAATCTCGTGTTGCTATTTACTAGAATGTATCCTTTTCAGAAAGTATTTAAATCAATAAAAGAAATAAATTTAAATTCAGAAATTTTTTTTTTTCAAACAGAAAATACAACTTTCTTTAATGGTTAACAAATATAATTCCCAAAAAAAAGAAGATTCAAAAAATAATTTAAAATTTTTAATGGATATTTTTTATTTATTTAGTTTAATGGCATAATTGTATCTCATTTATATTAAATAAATCATTATAATAACATAGATGAGATGCAATAAATCATGAAAATAATCAAGAATATTCCAATTTTATCGAATATGAAATTCAAATGGAAAATTAAAATTTGATACCGGTCGTTTTTCGGCGATATTTTTTTCAATTTCTTGTGGTATATATTCTTTGACATCATCCAATTCTGGTGTGCACATTTCCGTTTCAATATCATAGAAACCTGGTTGCATTACCTAAAATAGGAAATAAAATAGGAACTAAACTGTAATTGGAAAGCAGTAATTAAAACTTGTTAAAATTGATTGAATATTTAAACTTATAATTTTAAGCAAAAATCTATGCAAAGTTAATATAATTTTAATAATACTATGCTAGTAATAGTTACATAGAAACTAAATAATTCCATCTTATTCAATCACTAAATTATGAATTTATTAGCAAAAGAATATACAGATTGCATTTCTGTTTTTTTTTTCTCATTCCAAAATCGTATTAGATTTTAAAATTATCATATCAGAAGAAACCAGCGAAATAAAATCAAACATTCTGCTACCAAACATTAAAAATATATAAGCGAATATAAGCAATAATCAATTAACTATAAATAAGTCATTTATTGATGCTTAAAAGTTTTTCTTGTCGGTCAATTTCACATGCTGATTTATAATAATCTCTTAATTCTTTACAATATGCATTCAGAAAAAAATAAGAAATCAAAAAATTTTGTTAGTAAAAATGTCGTTCAATTCTTGACAATTTTATGACAACAAAAAAAAGTTACCATTTCAATTTATGATTTATTTCATAATACCGCAATTAATCCTTTTTTTTTCATTTTCTTTTTTGAAAATGCTTAATAAATCAACCATTTTTTTTTACTTTATTATAAAAAATTAAAA